CTAGACACAGGTGGGCTGAGGTCCTTGCAGTGTGGCCCCTTGCCTTGTGTTCAGCTGGCTGCGGTTCCTAGCTGTGGTGGGAAGACTACTTGTGGCAAGTAACCAGAGCTCACGTCACCCTGGGGAGCCGCTGCTGTCTGGCAGGTCTTACCAGCTGCTAAAACCTACTTCCAGAGATATTTGAAGACCGGAGCCACAGTGCTGGCACATGGAAAGATCCTGCTCCAATTATTTATTAATAATAATAAAAAAAGGGATAAGAGAATTTTTTTTTTTCTCAAAGTGGCTGCTGGCAAATAAACAAGGTGAAGGGCTTCAAGTCTCTCTTGTGGCTGGGAACTGCTCTGTGCTCTGCAGTGGGGGCACCTGTGTCGGGAAGGGTCTGTACTGGGGGGGAAGATGCTGGGACTTCTTTGTGGGACTTTTTTGATATTAGAGTTCAGTAGGAGGTGGAAGAAAACAACCAACCAAACAAACCACAGAAGGCACTGGTTGAGTTATTGTGCGAGTGTGCACATTTAAAAAAAACCCATCCAGATGTGCCACGCCAACCCATTCTTGTGAGACCCTGGTGGAGCTCCAGGTATCATCCTTGTGCTTTTCCTGGGTGTGGGGGAAGAGGAGGGATACTGGGGCAAGAGGTGGCCAGCCAGAAGATTAGTGTCCATCTTGTGTCATCTCCAAGGAGATTAACATCCCTCAGTGCTGTTTTTCTGCTGCTTTGATTTACATGAAGACCCGGGATTGAGAGGCCACCGAGCTTTCGTTACAGCTGCTTTTGCCCTCTCCTGCTCTGCGCTGCTTCTCTATTGTGGCACATAATTTACTCCCTGACTCTCTATCCTGCAGTTACAGTCCCAGCTCAAAAGTGTGATTACAGCTGTGGCATTGCTGTGTCATTGCCTTTTGTTTGCCACAATACAGCTCTACTTGGGCAGAGCAGAAAGGAAAAGAAATAATAATGATGCATGGATGGAGGGGAAGATCTGACAGGCCTTTCCAGCCCATTTGCTGTGTATTTCATCTCGGGTGGGGACTCTCATTAACTAGTCACTTAGCAGAAGCAACCTGTACCTAAAGGTTAATTTCCACAGCGGTTGTTGCTGGGTTATTTGATGGTGGGTAATTTCTGTCATCAAAAGATTCTTTTACTCCTACCTAGTATTTAATGAGATTAAATTGCAACTTCTCTGAGACCTCATGGCAGAAGTGTGTATGTGTGGCAGGTGGCCACCAAAGCTTTGTGTGGACTTAATAGAAAGGCACTTGGGGAGCAGAGAGAAAACCCTTTCATAATGAGGGGGAAAAATAGTGGCGATGTTTGAAAGCTTCATAGGTGTTAATAAAAGATACTGCTTTTTCAGTTACACAGAATGATAAATACAATGGGCTTCTGCAAGAATCTGTCTGTAGGACAAAAATTATTGTAACGTGACTTTGATGTACGCAGGATGCTCCTTTTAAGGCCTGGAGCAAGGTGACCTTTTAAATGAGGTGACTATGGGCTGAGTGTTCCAGTTGATAGAATATCACAGGGCCCCATTCTGACCTTGCAGTGTATTTACAATCTTTAATTCTACCGACAGTGTGGGGTTTTTCTTGGAGAAGCTAGTCCTAATGCAACAGCAATCCAGCGAGACCACCGAAGGCAACAGAGCTATTTCTGTTCTGTGACAGTGTAGTTGGTATCGGGGTGAGCTTTGACAGTTGCTGCAGGGTGCTCATGTTTGATGTAGGTGTAGGGCAGCAGTGGGTGCACGTAGCCATGGCTGGGCGAGGGGTTGTGTAGGGAGGTCTGTGCTCTGCTTTGCATGCTCGTTCAGACTTACTGTCGTGCAGATACTGAAGTGCACCAGGAGCTGAGCCCATAGTGTTGTCTGTTCCTATACCCTCTAATATGCTTTCTCTAGACTGCTAAAGCTGATGACATCTAGCACTGAACACAATTAAATATGTTTGACATTGAACCAAAAAGCTTCCCTGTGGCTGTTCTGAAAGATTTTTGTCAATGTGTTTTTCTTGCATTTTTTTGTACGAAGATTTAACTCCTTACTCTTGACCTCAGAGTCTGGGCAGTTCATGAATCTCCTACTAGTTGGTTTCTGCGTTCACCTGGAGGGCAGAAGTGTGAATATGTGAAATTCAACAAGCATCAGGTGGGTGAAATACCCCCTTGAGAAAATGCTTTAGAGACAGATGAGAGCCCCTGGCTGCTTTTCCTGCATCTCTGTAGAGAGAAGAGGTGAAATGCAGAGTGCGGGCAGGGGGTCAGTATCCCAGGGAGTTGCACTGGTGGTGAGGTGGGGTGTTGGGCTGGACAGAACCAGAATCAAGCCCCAGTTGTGTTTTACAGTATTGGTACAAAGGCTTTTTGTGTTCTCGGTTTGCCAGCAGCTGTCAGGCAGCCGTGCTATGCAGACAGGGGAGGAAGGCCGGCCTCAGTAACATCCCAGGGCATCTCAGCTGTGCAGTGGCTCTTGTTTCACTGCTGTTGAAGACTTCCTTTTTGGGCACGGGGTAGGGGGAGGAGGGGATGCTGGAGATCTCCAGAACAGGACCCTGGTCTGAGATGGTTCCCTCAGCTCTAGCGGAGACCAACCCCAGTTCTCTGTTCTTCAGGCTGCCCTGACACTATCCTGGCAATGCTGCCCCTTGGGCTGGTGTATTTTGTAGTTGCAGCACCCTGACTGACCGCCTTGACTGCACCTGCCTCTGGGGATGGCTCTGGGGTTACAGCAGGTGCCTCTGGCTGGAGTAACCCCAGGCTGGAGTGTCTTGCTGCAGCCTTTTCTGGTCATCCCTCTTCCATTCCCCAGGCGTGGGTGGGGGTCTTGGCTGCAGAGGGGAAGAGCGCCTGCTGTTCCACAGGCCGGGTGTCAGCACGTGGAGCCAGGGTGGGTGTCAGCTGTCCAGGGATTAACAGCAGGGAGCCGCGTGCCACGTAGGTGCTGACGCAAACCCGCTTGCCTGAGGGAATCTCGGTCTCTCCTCCCCCTGGCACAGGCCAGCAGCCTCCGGAGATGACCCGGGACCTGTGCGTAGTTCCCCTCTGAGATCACCTACTACGCTGTTACGAAGCTTGGCCCTGGCTTCTGCATGTGGTGTATTTGAAACTGCCAGCTGGTGATTCAGGGGACGTGTTTTGCTTTTTAAAAGTGTTTGTTCCTGACCATGTCTCTGTGCTTATCTAGTTAATTGTCTGCCTGGGAGCTTTACTTTGTTCATCTCAGCAATGTGTTACAAGGGTAACATGCAAAAACATTCTTGTATGAGGAGTGGCCATGCTGAGGGCCAGTTTACAGATGGAAAGGCAGACTGTCCCCTGGAGAGGAGTAAGTTCGATTTTTTTTTTTTTTTTGTACTGTTTGAAGATGTGGGAAAATGAGGATTGATAACCCAAGTCGTACTGAGCTCCAGCATGAAACGGAGGGAAACACTGTTCCCTTTTAGGAGCATGGGAGTTTGATGTTGGTATCAAATGGGGCAGTTCCCACAGATCTGGGGAGGGTGGTCTCTGTTTTGGCATGCTGACCCAAACACTGTTGTATTTTTTTTTCCTTCCCCCTAAGCGTGGTTAAGAGTCAGGCCCCTCCGTGCCTGAACTGTTGCATCCTATTCTCCAAGCATTGAAATGGGCTTTGGCAGCATTGACTGTTTCTGGGGCACAGCGAGAATAAATTCGCGTTTGCAAGAAAGCACTTGTCCTGGCAGTTAAAAAAACCTGCTAAAGATATCTTACAGGTGTAATTGTGCGTGCTCCCTTCCCAGTGCCATTGTTGCCTTGACACGGTGCACACCAGATACTTAACAAACGGGCAGCGCTCTGTGGAACGATTCCCCATCAGCTTTAAAACCCACTTCTCGGGGAACTATTTTCATCATGTGGTGCTCGGGATTTACTGCAACGGCCGGTATGGCTCGCTGGGCATGAGCAGACGATCAGATCTGATGGACAAACCTCTAACTTACCGAACTCTGAGCGACCTCATCTTTGAATTTGAAGACTCCTATAAAAAGTACTTGCATTCAGTCAAAAAAGTAAAAATCGGATTATACGTCCCACATGAGCCGCACAGCTTTCAGCCCATTGAGTGGAAACATCTGGTCCTCAATGTATCCAAAATGATGCGTGCAGAAGTCAGGAAGGAGCTGGAGAAGTTTTCCAGGGATATGAGGATGAAGGTAGGTCCATGCGCCTGGGTGGTGGACTTGGAGGTGAGTGTGCCTAGTCCCATCCTGCAGAGGCTGGTCTTGCTTCATGTCAGCAGACTGATCCCGGCCTGAGAAATAAGGTGGTATCAGGTGGGTTAGGGGTGTGCTTACATCTGTCTCAGTGGTTCTCCCACAGGGTTTGGTGTATTTTCAAGCACTTACAGCTATTTTTTTAGTTCAAAGTTCTCCCCTTCACCCTGGGAAATGCTTGAACCCATACTCGTCCCTGGCTATCAAGGAGCTATTGCCCAGTTTGCTTTTCTCACTGACTCTGGAAGAAGGTGGCTGGGAAGAACCAGTGTGCCTGGGACTGAGGCTGGAGCTGGTGGGGTGGGTGGCCTGGTTGCAGGTAGGGATCTCTACTCTTTGCACCCGAGCTGCCAGGGGTGCCAGTGGGACAGCTGTGGCAGTGGTTCCTTCTCCATGCAGGGCATGCCAGTGGGCTTGCCCTGCGCCACCTGATGCCCACCTCCCTCAGCTAAATCACAAAGTAGATTACATGGGAAGGGTGAGGAAAGCGAGTCCCTGACAGGCTGGTACTTCCCCGCTGGCTGGTTGGACTGAAGAGCCCGGAGGGAAACAACGGGAAGACAGGGCAGGCTGCCAGGGTGCTGGAGGCTTTGGCTGCCCTTGGGGATGAGGGGTGTCCCTGACCGTGCCTCTGGGGCAAGGCAAGGAGCTGGTCATGGTGGAAGGGGATTTGGTGCCTTTCCAGCCTGCTCCTGGCAGCAGGAGCAGAGCAGGTGTGTTGCTAAGTATGGGGCTGGCTCTTATGGAGAGGCATGCGGCATCGCGTCCAAGTTATTCTGAGCTCCCGTCCCCTGCCCTGCTGAGGAATGGCTCCTACGTAGCAGCCGTGTGCCTTTTTGGCTGAGGCACCTGCCCCCTCACCCTGACCTCGAGGTGAGTGTTGCCAGTGGCATCGTAGCCCCTATGTCCTGCTGCCACCTCTCCTGCCCTGCCAAGGAGTCTCGAGGGCCAACTTGTACCATACTGTCACCTTAAGCACATGTGCTTGATTACAGATGTAATGAAGCTTTTTTTCCCCCATCTTCTCTATTCATGCACTTTTAGTACTATCTAGAGAGCAAACAGCTGAAGCAGGCTCTCGTTGAAGAAGTCCATATGGGCAGATGACTTACTGACCTTAGTACTTGCTTTTGATGGAGGGACCAGCTCTGTGTGTGTGCTGAGCTGTGACGTTGGGTCCAGTCCTTGTGAGTGCCTCAAGGCCAGGACCACAGCCCCTGAACCCTTGAAGAAGGCCCTGCATCTGACTCTTCCCTTGAGTTTATTCAGAATTTGAGCTACTTGATTCAGAGGGCTCCTGTTGTGAGGGTGCTGACTTTGGAGGATCAGGTCTTAAAAACAGCCCGGTCTGCGAGTGTCATGCTGAGGATGGAGGGCCTGGGGGATGCAGGCAAGTGTGCGAATGGACAGGAGACCTCCTGAAAAGTCCCACTGTCACAGAGAGTTCAGCTGCTAGCCTGGGAGGTGATTGCCTCTGCACAGAGGAAAGCTGGAGAGGGCGATTTGGCTGCGTGAGTTTCCTTCAGCTGAGGCTCAAAGCCGTTTTTCTGATCCCTTGCTGTTGCCAGCTCTGAAGAAAGCTGTGGATGAGACCTTTTTTTCAGTATTTAGCTGGGAACTGAATTGGTGACACCAACTGATTTTTGCAGGGGGCCCCTGAACAGCAATCACATGGTAAAAGCTTGGGTTCCGCTTAACCTGGGCAGGGTTTGAATAAGCCGTGAGGGACTGAAGGCTCTTTGTGTGCCATCCCTGCTACTGTATGAGGCCTTTTATTTTTATTTTTTGTTTTCAGTGAATCATTGCCTTTATGGAATGCCTTTTCCTTCCCTCCCCCATCTCTCGCAGATTCTGAAACCCTCAAGTGCCCATTTTCCAATGAAGGAGAGATCACGGGGTAAGTCGTTGTCCCCTCGCCGAAGGCAAGCCAGCCCTCAGAGACGTGCGTGCGGAAGAGAC